AAACTTTTTTGTCCGCTGCAGCTTGCTAGGTGTGCTTGAGTTTCCTTTTCACCTTCTAGACATACTTGGCAATCAGTTGTTTTATATATCTCTGGTCTTCTTCTATTTAATTCTTCTAATGTTGGCAGGCCATCATATATATATTAATTATTATATATATATATTAATTATTATATATATATATTAATTATTATATATACATATTAATTAAATATTAATTAAATATTTTTTTTTTTTTAAAAAAAAAAAACTAATTTAATTCATAACATAATTAGCCAATAATATTAATAATATTTAAGATTTGTGATTATTATTATTTTTTTTAATTTTCTTTAGATTCACCAGTTTATAAAATTAGCATTGAGTTGGTGATGTATATGTAGCTATAGTTTCTTTAGTGAGCAGTTTTTTTTTAATTCTTGTTACTAACTTTGTTATTATCTTTAGACTTGCCAGTTCGTGAAATTAGCATTGAGCTAGTAGTACATGGTCTGTAGTTTGTTTTTTGGTAGTTTTTTTTTTATTTTAACTTTGTTATTGTCTTCTTTAGATTTATCAGTTTTAAAATTAGCATCAGGATAGTAAGGTTGCTTGTAGTTTGTTTTTTTGTAAGTGCCTTTTTTTTGATTTCTGTCTACTAACTTTGTTATTGTCTTCTTTAGATTTACCAGTCTTTAAATTAGCATCAGGACAGTAAAGTTGCTTGTAATTTGTTCTTTTGTAAGTGCCTTTCTTTTAATTTCTGTTTACTAACTTTGTTATTGTCTTTTTTTAGATTTCTGATCTTGAAATTAGCACCAGAATGATAATGTTGCTTGTAGTTTGTTATTTTATAAACAACTTTCTTTTAATTTCTACTTATTAACTTCATTATTGTCTTTTTTAAGTTAGCCAGTCTTGAAATTAGCATCAGAATAGTAATGTGGTATATGGCTTGTAGTTTGTTCTTTTGTAGATAACTTTGATTCTGGCTCAATAACTTTGTTATTGTCTTCTTAGGTTCTCTAAATCATGAAATCAGCACCAAAACAGTAATAGAGTATGTTGCTTATATGTTATTTTTTGACTTTTTTTTTATTCTTGCTTACTAACTTTACTATTATCTTTTTTAGATTTACCAAGTTATAAATCAGCACTGGGATAGTAATTATGAGTATGTGACTTGTGGTTTATTCTTTTATGATGACTTTTTTTAGGTTCTTTTCTACTAATTTCATTATTGTTTTTAGGTTTGTCACATAGTAATATAGTATATGACTCATAATTTGTTCTTTTGTAGATAATTTTTTTTGATTCTTGCCTACTAATTTTATTATTGTATTCTTTAGTTTTGCTAAGACAGTAATGTGTATGTGACTTATAATTTGTTTTTTTGTGTATAGTTTTTTTTTTTATCCTTGCTCACTAACTTCATTATTGTCTTTTTTAGATTTACCAGTCTTGAAATCAGTGCCAAAACAGTAATGTGTATGTGGCTTGTAGTTTGTTCTTTTGTGGATGACTTTTTTTTTTATTCTTGCCAATTAACTTTGGTATTGTTTTTTTTAGGTTTGCCAGATTGTGAAATCAGTGCTGAGACAGTAATGTTGTATATAGCTTGTAGTTTGTTCTTTTGTGAAGGTTTTTTTTCTGATTTTTACTTACTAATTTTATTATTTTTTTCTTTAGATTTGCTAAATAATGAAATTAGTACTGGGATGATAATATGGTATATGGCTTGTAGTTTGACTTTTGTGTATGGCTTTATTTGATTCTTACTACTAATTTGTTATTGTTTTCTTTAGATTTGCAGGTTGTGAAATCAGTATCAAAAGTAAATTACAGTAATTAGATTACTTATATGTAGTTTGTGGTTTCATTTTTTTTATTAATTTTGAAATTCTATACTTATAAGTTTGTAACAATCATAAAAGTAGAATTCTAAGTACCAGACCTCTTAACTATTCTGAAAATTTTATCTAATATATATGCCATAAGTATACTGTAAGTATGTTACAGATATTTTATAATAAATAGTATTGATATGCATGGATGTGTCACAGGTGTGTCACAGGTATTTTATAATAAACGATAATAAAAAAAAGCTATTGTTTTATATTACTATAATATATAAAACTTGAAATTATTTATTGTTATTTTTATGCATAATTATCAGATTATATGTATAATAATAATTTAAGACTTCTAATATGTATATGTATCGATATTAAAATTTGAATAAATCTATTGTATGTTAAATATAAATATAGGAGCAATAATTTTAAGAATACTTAATATGTTAAGAATAGACTGTAAAAGTCATCATCTGGCAAATAGTAATTGTTTTAGTCTGTCCCTTATATTGGATACTATGCTATTAAGATCCAGTTTATATGAATCTATATTAGAATTAATGAATACTTTTGTTTAATATGTTACTAATATTATGCTTTTTTATTATAAAAAAATCTTTTATTTTTCAGATTTCTCAAATTTTATAATGTGGACAATGAACCAATTGCATATACTTATTGATAAGTAAAAAGAAAAAAATAGTCAATATTATGAACTTGTGAGTAATAGGAAAATTATGTTTTGGCAAGATGTTGCAAGCTATATTAATCTTAAATTCAGGACCAATTATTCAGAAACTCAGTATAAAGAAAAATTTCAAGAATTAATATGAGACTACAAAGTAATATTTTTCAAATTAATAAATAATTACATCTTTCAGTTATAAATATTAAAATTTTTTATAGAAAATGAAATTATATATTGACAGAAGTCTTAATAATAAACAAACCAAAAATGGTTGTAAATATTATGAGAAATTTCAAATGCATTTTTAGGAAAAACCAAGTAAATAGTATTTTTATAGTACTTTATTATTATGAAATAAATTCTAATACTTTCTTAGTAACAGAATATGATCATATATGTATGCAAAATATACAAGCACACTATAGAAGTATAGAAAGTCTAAAATGTGCTCATATGCAAATACAAACAAACCAACAAGATCTTTTTTCTTCTTATAATGATATTAAAACTAATTGTAATACTGTAGATAATAATCATGAAATCATAGATAATAATTGTAATGTTATATAACAATGCAGTGATAAAATAAATATATAATTTCTTTACATTTAATAAATTTGTTTTTGAATACGTAAATGTATATTAATGTTTTTTTTTTGAATCTAATTGTTTAAGTTAAAGTGTTAAATTCAATTAAAAAATTGTAATTTTTAATAAATAAATACATTCACAAAACAAATAATTTTATCAATTAGAAGCAAAATTTTTATATTTACTGCCCTATTTATATATATTTTTATATTTAATTAGTATATATTTATTATTAAATTTGAAATTTTAGAAATATTTTTATAACTTGTTTTAGTTTTAATCAAAACCATCTTTAGCATTCTTTCTTAAAAACATTATCCAAAATTACAGTCTTAGCAATAGCATTACTACTCCACTCTGTCAAATGATTAGTAGATTTAATTTTAATTATTCTGGTTTATTATATGAGTAGTCACATAGCTATATAAATAATTATTGCTAAGGTTTATTTAAGATTTTTTTCTTTCTTTTTGTTAATTTCTTGTCTACTAACTTTGTTATACTTTTTATATTTGCTGAATTGTGAAATCAGTGTCAAGACAGTAACTATGAAATATGTAGCTTGAAGTTTATCTTTTTATAATGATTTTTTTTTATTCTTACTTACTAACTTCATTATTGTCTTCTTTAGGTTCACTGAGTCATAAAATCAGCACTAATATGGTAATTATAAGTATATGGCTTGTAGTTTATTCTTTTGTATATGACTTTTTGTTGATTTCTTGTTTACTAATTTGTTATTCTCTTCTTTAAGTTCACCAGTCTTGAAATTAGCACTGTGACAGTATTTATGAGTATGTGGCTTATAGTTTGTTTTTTGTATATGGGGTTTTTTTTTATTATTGTCCACTAACTTCATTATTGTCTTTCTTAAGTTCACCAGATTATAAAATCAGTATCAGAATGCTAATGTTGTACTTGGCTTGTAGTTTGTTCTTTTGTGTATAGTTTTTTTTTTGAATCTTGTTCACTAACTCTGCTATTGTCTTCTAAGATTTGCTGAATCATGAAATTAGCACTAGGACAATAATGTGGTATTTGGCTTGTAGTTTGTTCTTTTGTGTATAATTTTTTTTTAATTCTTGCTTACTAATACTGTTTTTGTTTTAGGTTTACTAGATTGTAAAATTAGCACTGAGATGGTAATATGATATTTGGTTTGTAGTTTGTTCTTTTATGTGTAATTTTTTTTTTTGAATCTTGCCCACTAATTTTGTTTTTATCTTTAGGTTCGCCAGGTTGTGAATCAGTGCCAGGATAGTAATGTGATGTGTAATTTGTAGATTGTAAACTTTTTTTTCTTGATTTTTGCTTAATTTCATCATTGTCTTTTTTATTCTTTAGGTTTACCAAATTGTGAAACCAGCACCAGAACAGTAGTTAAGAAATTTAGTTTCTTTTTTCATATTTCTTTTTTTGCTATTTCATGTTCACTAATTTTATTATTGTTTTCAGGTTTGCCAGGTTGTGAAATTGGCACTGGAACAGTAATGTGATATATATATATAACTTATAGTTTATTATTCTGTGCATGGTTTTTTTTTATGCTTGTACATTAACTTTGTTATTGTTTTCTTTATACTCACTGTTGTAAAATTAGCACCAGGATAGTAATATGGTATATGACTTGTAGTTTGTTCTTTTGTTAGTAACTTTCTTTTAATTTCTGTCTACTAACTTCATTATTGTCTTCTTTAGGCTTACTAGTCTTTAAATTAGTATTAGGATAATAATATAGTATATGGCTTGTAGTTTGTTTTTTTGTGAATAACTTTCTTTTGATTTCTGTCTATTAACTTTGTTATTGTCTTCTTTAGGTTTGCTAGTCTTTAAATTAGCATCAGAATGGTAATATGGTATATGGCTTGTAGTTTGTTCTTTTGTAGATAATTTTCTTTTGATTCTTTTCTACTAACTTCACTATTGTCTTCTTTAGATTCTCCAGTCTTGAAATTAGCATTAATGTATAATTTGTAGTTTGTTTTTATATAAGTAGTTTTTTTAGTTTGTTCTTTTGTGAATAGTTTTTTTAGTTTGTAATTTTTTTAATTTTTGTTCACTAACTTAATTAGTTTTGTTTAAGTTTACTAATTTTAAAATTAGTATTAGGATAGTAATGTAATATATTGTTTATAGTTTGTTTTTTGTAGATAATTTTTTTAATTTTTATATATCAATTTTATTGGTTTTTTTAGGTTTGTAGGTTATAAGATTGTGTTATAACAATACAATATATAGTTTATAGTTTTTTTATATGATTTTTTTGATTTTTATATATTAAAAATATTGTTATTTTTTTTAGATTTGTTTAAGTTATAAAATTAATATTAAAATAATGATATAAGATTTATATATCTTTTTTTGTTTTTTTGTAGTTTTTTTATTTTTTATTTTTTATTTTTTAAGTTTATAAAGATGTTGATATAATATTTAGATGATTTTAATTTTTTTGTTATTATTATTATTATTATTTTTATTTAATAATTTTATTTTTTTATTTAAAATTTTTAGATTAGTAAATTAATATTAAATAATAATTAAATAAACTTGTAATTTTAGAGTAATTTTTGATTTTTTTTGTTATTAATTTTATTATTTATTAAAATT